TGTTCTACTGATTACTTCTAACAAACTGCACAGACCCAGATCTGTCAGCATACAATGTGCAGTTTACAGATGGACTAGACTGGTATATAAGTGCATTATGCAATGGCAGATTTGTGTCTGTGTAATGTTCAGTTGAACTTGTCCTATCAGCCTTTGAATATCAGAAATTAACACTATAAAAGAGTTGTCAGGGGTAGTTTTTAGTTCATGTAAAAACTCAGTTGTACAAGTTGTACAGGAATTAAATTTTTCAGCTCTTGATGTTTAACTCATTCAGCCTCAATCCCACCAGTAGGCATGATGGCTGTACCCTACTTCCTAGCTCTGTAGTGTCAAGGTTTTGTAAGATACACCAAAGTGGGTGGTATTACAATAAAGCAAATAGATGTAACTCTACAGTGATACCAAATAATCTGGACTTTGAGACCTGATCTTTTTACACCGAAAATTTTGTGTCCGAGTTTAAGATTTTTTTTTTCACCTGTGATCTATGGTAGACTAGTCTGTTCTGCACATAGAGAGTTGAACCTTGCAAAAAGTAGGGCAAGTTGGGGATCAGGAGCTGAAAAAAATTGGCTCAATAAGCAGTAAAAAAACAACCTCTAACGTTCACCCTTCTGTACATGTGTGAGCCAAATAGCCAATGAAAAATATTATTTCTAGTAAAATTAGTCATCAGTCTAAGTGAACAACTAAGTGAAAGCAGACACATTTGGATATATTCAGAAAATAACCTACAAAATGCATTTCCTATACCCCAATTTCAGGCAAAACTGACAAAAGTCTCAAGGGATGAATAAGATAATAATTAAAGAAATTGATATATTTAAGAAGTAAGAGTAATGTATAAACATTTCTTGTTCTTAAAATTTACATGAGGTAAAGACAGATTAAGAGAAAATGATGGGAACATTAAGCAAACAAATTCATGTAAAGTTTTGCAAACACAAAGTTTTTTTTCTGTTTTATTTCTATGTCTTGTCTGGTTTCTATTTATTTGACTTTTAAAAAGATTTATTAAGAGTCAACAATGCTCAGGCTATTTAGATACTAGTTTTGCACTGTTCTTTGCCATGTCAGTTTATTGCATATATATATATATATATATATATATATATATATATATATATATATATATATATATATATATATATATATATATATATATATATATATATATATATATATATATATATATATATATATATATATATATATATATATATATATATATATATAATACCTTTTTAGCTTGCACATGTTTTTTATAATTGAGCATCAAGTCTAAGCACATGACACAAGCTGCATTGTTAAATGAAACTTTAGGACTGATCATGTGAAATGAAATGGATATTTTGTACTAAAAACAATTGTGCTCAAACCAAGTTACACTTAAATTTCAACTGTCAGAATACCTAAATCAACACAATATTGTTTATCATATTAAATAAAAAAATTATATTTTCATTTGTGTTCTCACTATAATAACTGTACATATCTGAATATTTCTAGTATGTGTGTCTTTTCTTGTAACTTAGAATATATCAGATTGCTTGGATTGTGGAAGAAGTGTCCATGTTATCTGTCAATGTAGTTTTGTTACTAAGCCAGCCCAGAAAGCATTCTCTCTCCCCAAAACATCAATATACCCCTCAATTTAATGAATCTCCATATCTTTATCATTTTAGGGGGACAGAGGTACATCAAACCATCTGCCAAGAAGCTCAATAAAGGTGCAACACTGCATACAAGAGATAGAGAATGAGAAACCCAGAGAAAAGAGAACTTGAATATTCAGAAGAAAGTGCCTAAGCTAGTAATAAAGTGGATCATCCTTTCATACAGGTCCCAAAAGAAATTTTTAGAAATTTTTAACTTACTTCAAGAATGTTTTATAATGTGAGTCATGGTAGTCACTGTGTCTTTCTACCTGTCTGTCCAGAGGCATCAGCTGATTTGGAATGTTCGTAGGAACACCATATAGCTTTCATTTCCTTGGCATGACAATAAATTGTTAAAAATGTTAAGACCAGTAAAACAAACAAAGAAACTACCCCATGCCAGCTATTGAATGAAAGTTTTTAAGGGACAGTACTTTTGTTTTCATCATGAAACCATCTGTACCAAGGCCACAATTATTACTTCTGGACCCATACCCACAAATGTAGTCCCAGCCTATTTTTTAGGCATGTTTTTAGTTCTCATTTTAGTGGTTATACATGAATTAGATTTAGGCATTTTTGGTATTGATTGAAAGGAATTTGTTTATTCTTTACACTGAACAAAATGGTCTGGTTGTCTGTGTGTATTTTGGCAGCCATGCACAGCAAGTCCAGAGTAAAATCTGTCACCAATTGCCCATTTTGTCAACCAGTCCAATGACAAGAATTTCATCATGAGTTCAGATGATACTTTGGATCAAGATATGATTTGTTTGGATTTAGACGCAAAGCTAGGAAAGTTCCGTACTGAGAAACTAGGACAAATAATTGTGACTTAAGTCCAGTCAGTGTCTTGGCCATAAAACTTTAAATTGAAATCTCATGTTCATTATTAAAGTTAGATACATGAACTTTTTTTAATATAGTTTTTGTATTTTGACTTTGAATAAATTCCTATCAGATGAAAAACTTAATTTTTTTAATTTTTCTTTACAATTTAGAAATATATTTATATTTGATACATTTTGCAAACATGTTCACATTTATAATCTCTGTGGGGTTAATGCTCTTTATTATATTTGTATTACTACAACATACAAATGTTCCAGTGGTGAATAATTTTCAAATTCTGTCCGAGAAAATATATTTCAAAGTCAGAACGAGACCTTAATTAAAAAAAACATGAAGACCTATTTTTAATTGATACAGTGCCTTAGTTCATTTGCAGTATTCATTACAAGTCCAAGCAATTGATTTATATGTGGTGATTAAGTGACTAATATATATATTTATTTCTATGACTATTATATATAGTAATTGTCTGTTAAAATAGTTTTATGGTATTTAATGAAAAGTTGTTGATGAAAACTATAGTCTACTCAGGCTGTGTGCATGACCATTTTAAATTGTCAGAGAATGAAAAATGTGTTGGAAAATATAGATCAAAAGTATAATGAACTTCCTACTAAATTTATGCAGGAAAACAGCAAAATAAAACCTAACAAACTTAAATTCCTTTTTATTGCTAACTTTTGGTTAGTTCATTGATTGGTAACATATAATTGGTTGTATCCATTCAAAATATCCCCAGAACTGTATTTTGTCTTGAAGTAGCTTATCTTTGGTAAATTTAATTTAGTACTTTGACAGAGTGTGGCATTTTAGCATAAGCTTATATCACATTCTAGATAATGACTTTTAACTGACACTTTTAAAAATACCTAATAACTGTTCAAAGAAATCATCTGAATTAAATTTGCACAGTTAACCATAAATAAGTACATGGTTCATGTCTCACATGTGCAGAAAGCCATCATTGTTTACAAGTTTTGGGGGTCATAATTCCACATTTAGTTAATAAGATCTTTTTGTACTGATAGTTGACCTGTGAGGCACATGATTGGGTCCATTATTTCTATCATGAATTAGCATACTTGTGCAGAACTGTAGAGATCTATCACAGGCCCTCATGAATTAGCATACTTATGCAGAACTGTAGAGATCTATCACAGGCCCTCATGAATTAGCATACTTATGCAGAACTGTAGAGATCTATCACAGGCCCTCATGAATTAGCATACTTATGCAGAACTGTAGAGATCTATCACAGGCCCTCATGAATTAGCATACTTATGCAGAACTGTAGAGATCTATCACACGCCCTGGGGTAAGAAACACACGGTCCTCTCCTAGTTCTTGTGCAAACAAAATTTTTCTTTTATAAAGTTAGAAAAGTGTTGTTCAGCCCAGGCCCACAAGGATATTTGGGATATATCCCTGGTTGCCCACCCCTTGTTGATGCTGTACTTTTTGTAATATCTTTTAGTAGATTGACATTTGACTTTGCTGTATGCTTTTATTTACTAACTCTTGTACCAAAGTTCAAATCTCACCCCCACCCCCACTGCTGTAATAATTTTTTAAAATTTCATATCTTGCTGATGATGTAAGGTCTGTTATAGATGATCAGTCAGGTACATAATTGGTTACATACACTTGAAATATTTCCCAGTGTTGTTTCCATCATGAATGATCTTATGGAAATATCTTTTAATTTAGTATTCTGCCACTAAACTTTCCTGTATGCTGTTATGTACTAATTGTTGCACAAATGATCAAATCTCAAACTCCTGATATTGCATATCATCTTTATGATGATTAGAGTACCATATTAGTTATTTTGCCTGTAAGTTGCTGAACACTCTCTCACAAACATACTTCTGGAAACTTAATATATGTTGGGGATATGTAGTCACTTTAATAAAGGCTCATTGATTCATATTTCTGACTGTCACTATGTCAGGTTTAATGTTTTTGTCCACATACACACTTAATGTAATTTGGACATTTCCATATCTAGCACATTTTCACTTCATTTTCCTAGATCTTTCTGATCTGTGAGATTACAGATACATCTTTAACCTCTTTTCAGGTCAGGCCTGATATTTGGAACAAAGTGATAAGAGTTGCAATTGATTGGATGCTCTCCCTTAGTTACATGGTTTTACCAAGGTCTCATTAAATGTGTCCAGTGTACCTGCCATATGTTACCAGGACTAATTAATAAAGTCCCACACTGATATAATAACACTTCAAAGACATGGTTTAGGTCTTCATGAGAGAGATCAGTGCCACTGTTAATTGATGTAGAGTCTCCATGGATTAGTATTTACCATGATAGATGTTGCTAAAAAGAAAAATAAGGTTTTCATTGAATTGGCCATCATCATTCATTCATATTCATTACATTTAAAAGTAACAAAGCAGAGAAAGGCATTATATAGATTTAAGATAAGCTTACTGGGTGCACATGCCAGTGACAACTTGTATACCATATATGACCACTCCGGTGGCCAAGTGGTTAGAGCATCTGCCTCGGATGCGGAAGGTCATGGGTTCGATCCCCGGCCAAGTCATACCAAAGACCTACAAAAATGGTACTAACAGCTGCCTCGCTTGGTGCTCAGCATTAAGAGGTTAGTGTTAGGACTGGTCAGCCTGATGTCAGGATAATGTGACTGGGTGGGACATCATGCTACATGTCTGCGGAATGATACCCCAGTGCTAGACATCACTATAAACTGCCACACTGCAGTGATATGACTGAAAAGTTGATAAAGCTACATTAAAAATCCAAAACACACACACACACATATACCATACATATTTGCTTATAAGTTGATTTAAACTGCAAACAGCAAAGATTCTGACCTGCAGTAGCATGATATGCCTGCAGATCAGGGTAATGGTGTTGTTCTACTGATTACTCCTAACAAATTGCACAAATTCAGATCTGCTGACACATTATGCAATGGCAGATCTGGGTCTGCGAAGTTTTCAGTTGACTTGACTTATAATTGAGTATATACAGTAAGTATTGGTGCAAGTTAGATATATGGCAATCAAAGCTCTAACAATCCATTGATGAAACTGTCAGTGTATGATTTTGCATTGTACATTTCGCTTTACAACTAAAGGATCATATTGGCACACAAAGTGAAAATAATTCTGCCCAAAAAGACATTTTCAAATCTACAGAAAGAGACTAACTTTTCTGACTAGTCCACGTCACTCACTTGAGTTGGCCATAACTTGATATAGTGCAGGTCATGGGCAGGGGACTTTTTTTTCAATCCATGTGTACATCTTAGTTTTAAATGTATATCAATATTACTCTATGGCATGTTTGTAAAATTGATAAACAGCAAAGCTAGAACTTATCAAACTGTTTGTGTGTGAGAGAGGAGGGTTTCAACAACTTAATAAATTGTGATATGAAACACAGAAGGAGGAAGTCAACAACTTAACAACTTGTGTGTCTATTAGAGAGAGAAAGAGAGTCAATAACTTACAAATTTTGACCTGCTGAATGAACTGAACAGTCTTATTAGAACTTTAATTACATTTAACATTTTTATATAAACAGATTAACAAAAAGTACAAATAATTTATGTCAATGTAACTGCAACAGGCATTAAATTGGTAAATAAAATGTATATATTGATATGATGTTTCATTGTTGTTATTTCTGTTGTCAGTTTTATCAGTTTTATGATAACTGATAACCCCCATAGGAGCCTCTTTATATCCCTCTTTTTATACTTATATTGCCTTGACTGTGTACCAACCATTCACACATCTGCCACCAGTTCAGTCAGTAATTGTTCAGTCAACCAGAGAACAAATAATATCATATAATTGATTAATCTATCCATTTGTTTTGTTTTAAACTGAGTTTTAGGTGGGAAATTATTCTGACAGGTTTTAGATAAGTGTACTCTGCCATTTATGAATTCTTTTTCAATAATGTCACAGCTGCCTTTGGAACAAATTGAGGTCATAATCAACAGATGTACAGTTCTGATATACCCCACAATATGGTCTTATTCTGGCATGATTCCACAAGCATGTCATATCCAACAGCATGGTCTTAATCTGGCATGATTCCACAAGCATGTCATATCCCACAGCATGGTCTTAATCTTGCATGATTCCACAAGCATGTTATATCCCACAGCATGGTCTTAATCTTGCATGATTCCACAAGTCTGTCATATCCCACAGCATGGTCTTAATCTGGCATGATTCCACAAGTCTGTCATATCCCACAGCATGGTCTTAATCTTGTATGATTCCACAAGCATGTCATATCCCACAGCATGGTCTTAATCTTGTATGATTCCACAAGCATGTCATATCCCACAGCATGGTCTTAATCTTGCATGATTCCACAAGCATGTCATATCCCACAGCATGGTCTTAATCTTGCATGATTCCACAAGCATGTCATATCCCACAGCATGGTCTTAATCTTGCATGATTCCACAAGTCTGTCATATCCCACATCATAGTTAGTCTGGAATGAATCCTGAAGTCAGTCTTATTGCACAGCATGATCACTCTGGCAAGATTCCAGAAGTCTGTCATATCCCACAGCATTGTCTAAATCTGCCAAGATAACATGGTGTGTCATATCCCACAGCATGGCTTCAGTCTGAAATGATTCCATAAGCCTGTCACTCTACAGCATTGATTCAGACTGGCATGATTCCACATGTCTGGCATATCCCACAGGATGGTCTCAGTTTGGCATGATTCCACATGTCTGTCATATCCCACTACATTGTATCACTCTGGCATGATTCCACAAACTTGTTAACATGGTTTCAGTCTGTTAGCATTGTTTCAGTCTGGCATGATCCCACAAATCTGTCTTGTCCCCATGGCTTAATCTCACAATGAAATAAAATAAACTGGTCTTTTATGTCCAGATATTATTATTATTATTGCTATTATTATTTTCTAAAATTTATTTCATTCTTTTTAGTGTTAATTAATCACTAGATTAGCATCATCTTTGAAATCAAGACAAAGTGGATGGAGATAGAATAACTACATGATATACATGCCCAAAATTGCTTTGGAGCTACAAATAAACAGCATAAATGATTTAATGTTTGCTGTCTTTTATTGAATTTCTTGAATGACTTTAAAGGTGAGTAAAAGGGAAATAACTCAAATTCTGACAAAATGATTCATCAGAGTAATTACCTGCCTTGAGTTAGCTTGACAGCTTTTATGTACATGTAGCACTTAATACAGAAATATTTTTTTTTTAAAATGCTCATCAAAGACGTTTACCTGGATATTTTTCTCAAAATATTTTATTAATTTTTTTTATCAATTTTTTTGAAAGATAAAAGAAAAGAGCTGCAACATTTATACTTAAGAATCCATATAGAGATATAAAATCACAGAAAGGAACATGATTATTGATATTCTTAAAAGTTATGTATTGTCTTTCATCCTGTTCAATATAGTATTAATAACCAGAACCTTCTAAACCACGTGTTGCTGATAGTTTTACTTTTTTAAAGGATAGGAGATATTACAAAGAGAAATGTATTTAGCCTTACAAGGGACACCACTCTGGCCTATCATAATTCCAAAGTAGTTTTTAAACATTTTTTTTTGCAGCTCCGACTTTTTGATTAAATGTGTTAGGTGCATTCCCAATATGACATTTGTTTTGAAGTGCAAAGACTGTTTCCTCTTTACAGAATGTAAGTATAAAGGACAAAGACTGTTTCCTCTTTACAGAATGTAAGTATAAAGGACCAGTCATTATACTTCCATAGTGTGTCCTCCATGTGGTTTTGTTGGGCACTCAAGTTCCAGAGGATAAAGGCCTAGTCCAATGGGAGGTTTTGGACCAGAGAAGTTCAAGAAGTTGTTGTTGTTGTTGTTGTTGGGCTTAATGCTATTTTTCAGCACACGATAGGCTATTCATGGCGTCCAGTATTAATGGTGGAGGAAGAAACCAGGAAATCACTGGAAAGAACCACCAACCCACAAGAAGCTACTGGCAAGCTTTCTCACATATCCACATTCGCCTAATCCTAGACTCGAACCCACGCAGACAGAGGTGAGATGGCAGTGATCTGTAATGGACAGCGCTTTAGACCACTCGGCCACTCGGGGCCCCTAAGTTCAAGAAGACAAATAAGAATATAAATCTCAAAACTGGAAGAGATCCAATTTAACATGATTATGAAGGCTAAAGCCTGAGTAAGAGTTTATTAAGACAGTGATACAAGATTTGTAAGTTGATGAGGAAATCCAACTGAATGCAGTTCAATCTGATTTAGGATCTATGACACTTTGCACTGTAAAGTAAAACCTGTCTTGAGAGACCACTGCTATGAAAGACCACCTGTCTTGAGAGACCAGATTCTCCATGTACAGATTTACTGATTATATAGCATTATGACCTGCTATGAGAGACCACCTGTCATGAGAGAACATTATGTATTGGCAGAAAGGGTGGTCTTTCAAGACAGGTTCCACTGTATAGTGTTTCGTCCTGTGTATTTGCATGACAACATAGATTAGATAGACTGGAAAACATAAGGGATATATCAGTTATTTAAATTGGTCAGGTTTAATGGATGGATACTTGAATAAATAAATAAATAGATAGGTAGGTAGGTAAATAGGTAGGTAGGTAGGTAAAGAGATTGGTTGTATGAATCAATATGAGGGCTTATTGCTAATAATCTTATGTACAACTGTATTCATGTATTTTCTTATGTTTTTTATGCATTTATTGAAAATAAAGCTGCATTCTTATTAATTATGGTATTATTGATTATTGATATTACAATAATAGATACTGCATGTTTGAAACATCTAGGAATACTGTATGTGTATGTAATTAGGGGGTTACAGGCTCAGACAGCATTATTTTTGAACTACCTTTTGCTTAAGGAAAGCATATACTAGGTGTAATACACAAAATACAAGCACTATTTGATTTTATAATTTTGTCTGGCTGATAAAATAACAGTTGATATATTTTTCCCTTAAGTTTTGATATTCAGGCAAGCCAGTGTGCCCATTTCATCTGAAATAAACTCTTTCATAACTTCTAATCCCTGAATGTCAGCAGAATGGAATGATTCATCACCAGTGAAAGTGATAAAGGTTGTTAAGTTTATGTCAGTCAAATCCATTAATATACCATATGTGCTTGCATAAAAGTCAAATCCAGCTGCAAACTACAAACCATATATACTTGTTTATTAGTCAAGTCCAAAGCTGGCAGATTTGAGTCTGTGCAGTTTGATAGGCATAATCAAGAACAACATAAACCCTGATCTTCAGGTGTATTATGCAATGAGAGATTAAGATCCATATTGTTTGCAGTTTGAGTTGACTTGTGAGTACTTACAGTAGGTCTAAATATGCCACTGTATAATGCACTGGCAGATCTGGGTCTATGTTAGTCAGGATTGATCAATAGAGCAATCAACATAGACCCTGATTAGCTGGTGCATTATGCAACATCTGAACAGTATTTGTTATTTGTAGTTGGCCCTGAATTATATAGGTGTATACAATAATTATATCCTATTTT